CACACACACTCACTCACTCACTCACTCACACACACACACACTCACTCACTCACTCACTCACTCACACACTCACACACACACTCACTCACACACTCACACACACACTCTCACTCACTCACTCACTCACACACACACACACACACACACACACACACACTACTTCTATTGTTTTAGTATAAAGTGAATTATAAAGACTACTGATTAATAATAATTTCACCATTGAGGAAGTCTACACTAATAATAATAATACAAAAATAAAAATATAATACAATATATAAATAGTAATGTATAAAATGTAAAAAAAGACAAATGAACTAAAATCATACTGATATGCAAACGGTTTGATTTCCATGGAATGCATGAACTGAAAAGTTGTATCGCTTGAATGCATTTTGCAAAGTTGCTCTGGATAAAAACATCTGCCAAATGCATGAATTTAAAAGTAAAAGCTCATTTCCATTCATGTCTAAATTAAATATGCATGTATACTGGCTAAAGTCTATAGTGAAGGAAAGCAAACACACTCGCTGCTCAAATGTGTTGCTCTGTGAGTCGAGTGTGTGTTATTATAGAGTTATACCGAGTGAAACACACGTGCTAGAGTGTTGCTGATGTTGATAATGCTCACACACACCTGTGTATGATGTGCTGGCTCTGCAGGTAGTCGAGCGCCAGCGTCATCTCGCACAGGTAGAGTTTTACAGCATCCTCGGTGAACTGCACGTTCTGCTGCAGATGATAGCGCAGATCTCCTCCTAACAGCAGATCCACCACCATGAACATGTCCTCCTCGTCCTGGAACGAGTACCTGGAGCACAGGGTCACAGGTCAGAGGTCACAACAAACATCACACAGCTCACATTAAAGGTGACATATCATGGAAATCTGACTTTTCCAGGTTGTAAGTGCTATAATCAGGTCCCGGGTGCATCTACCAACCAAGCAAACGTGAAAAAGATGAACCCAGTAACTTTGTTTTGGGAAGCCTGTTTCTGCAAGCGTCTGAGAAAACCAGCGCGTCTGATTTCGCTCGCTTGGTGACGTGGCAAAGGAATCTCATTATAATATTACCGCCCCTTAATCTGTAAATTTACACCCACGGCGCCGTTATTGTGTTTTCGCAAGCGACAGCGGTGTAGCAGCTCTAATGCCATGATGAAAGTTTGAGCGAAGCATGCTAACTGTTCTGTGTTTGGCTGCAGAGACGAGCACTGAACACTGTTTAGAGTCCCAGCCTCAGA